GAGAGAGAGAGAGAGAGAGAGAGAGAGAGAGAGAGAGAGAGAGAGAGAGAGAGATTAATTTTAATTGTTGATCATGAGAGGGGGTAAACCCTAGAAACGAGTTCCCTACTAAACATGTAGTATATAAATATTTCTTATTTGGAATTTCCCCCCAGAGAATCAGGGCTGAAGAGGGAGCCTGGCCTGTCGTTGGTGGGGGTGATTGAACTGTGAGTCTGCCCAGATTAGGACAGGGAGCTGTAGGATCCAGTGAGGAGGGGAGGGGGCTGGCAACCAGAGGGCAGAGGGCTAGAGACAAGGAAGCAGTGGTGAGGGAGAAGAGGCAGGAAGTCAATGCCCCCCTGGTTAAAGCTGCAACAGGGGAGCAGGCAGTGTGCTGCAGCTCCTGGCTCAGTAGTGAAAAGCCGTCAGAAAAAAGGTGATCAATCAAAACTAACCAGGACATCCAGGCTCTCCACTCCCCAAGGACGCTGGAGCTTGAGCACAGAGTACCAGATTTTCCATGTTTTCTATTTTTGTCAGTCAGATCTATCCCTCCTTATCCCTACCCCAGGTTTTTATAAAATTTAAGTGTGTACTTACTTAAATAAATATGGCCGAAAGAAATAGCTGTGCAAATCCAGGCCAGTGTGATTGTCTTACTTTAGTGAAATTAGTCTGGGGATGATTTTTAAAAGCTTCTTGGATTTGTTCTTTTGAAGAAATCCACATTGGGAGGTGTCAAATGTCTGAAATTATACTGCACTTTTGTATACAGAACACCTTGCAATTTTGAATTGGTAATTTATTTGGAAACAGTTGATGCTAAATCAATGCAGTGGTTTGTAATGAGGGAGGAAGAGGTGTCAGTTGGGGAGGGGCTCAGCATCACCAGGTTTCCTCCCCTTGTTTACAGCCTTGCCTCTGACTGGGGTTAACTCTGTCTGCTCCATTGGACCAGATGCCATATAGAGCTGCTCCCTGAAGATCATTTGTTTCCTTGATGGGGAACATTTCTGAGCAGAGCATATTGGTTGCCATAGAGAAAGAAATAAAAGGAAGAACACTAGTCACATTAAGCTATATGTTTGTGCACTGGGCTTTAGATAAAAGGACCTTGATTCAGCCAAAGAGGAGAAGCCAAACTAGAGATTTCTAGGACCACTAAAACTAGCTTTATTTTGTTTTGGACTTTTACAGTTGAAACATATAAGCTAATTTTATTGGTTGTTGTTAATTTTATATGACACGGTTTACTGAACAAAATAAACTTTGCTTAGCAGTACACTATTCACTAGTCGGCAGGGGGCGCACTGACTCGACTTAGCACGAGCTGAGGAAAATGTAGCCAGTTCAAAAGCAAATCTGTCTTTCCAAACTTGCCAGGAAACAAACACCCTTACCTTTCCTGTGCATGTTCAAGGGAAGAAAGGAAACGATTGGACAACACAGGATTTTAAAATACCAGAACCGTGATCTTTCCCACACTAGCCATGTCTGTAAATGACCCAGGAAGGCAGAGAATGTTGAAACTATTTCCCCATTTCTCTCTGGAAAGTGTGGCTAGGATTCTTCATAAAATGGGCTGGAAAGGAGGCAGGGAGGGAAGGAAAGAGGAAGGGAGGGAGGGAGGGAGGGAGAGAGAGAGAGAGAGAGAGAGAGAGAGAGAGAGAGAGAGAGAGAGGCTCAGAGCACTTAAAAATTCCTGTTATTTATAGTATAGGTTACTTAAGAAACTATCTTTCAGGCTGATAATGGCGATGATTTTTTTGTAATTGAATTCTGATGTAAAAATGATGGTCCTTTGATCAGGACAGAATCTTACAATAGGGTATAACTTAGGGTCTTGAGGATATAGCAGGTGCCTGGGGAGCTTTCAGTCCATTTGGTACCTAGTATTACTTTCATTCTTACTGTTTTTCAAAGGATTTAACAGTTAGCCTTGAAAGGCTTTGTAGAGAAAGGAAAATACAAGCTAGACAGAGGGTAGAGGTAACCGTGGGCTTGAACCTTTTAAAGGACAGATAAAGAGGACTTTTAGTGGAGCATAAAGTTTCTGTCTCCAAGATTTTTTCCCCCTTTTGTGTATGTGTGCTACCAATGAAAACGGTAACAAAGAACGAAAAAGTTCTGTAGCAAAGTAGGAGGCTACCTAAAACAGTGAACAGCAAATCCTAGTTGGTTTTGAGGATTTAGTCAGTTTGTCTCAAACAGTTTTCCCAAGGAGATTTAGAGAGTTACTGAGAAAGAGGAGGCTGGAGTGACTAGGGTGTGACTCTGGCTTCCACAGTGCAGCTGAAGGCACCTGTGAATAAACGTCTCAAAGCCTGACCTTTCAGAGATCTGCTGCTCCCCTAGGGAAGGGGGTTGTTGCCACTGGCTTCTTTTCAGCACTGCTCCAAGCCAACCAGGCTTCAGCCTTAAGTTTTTCTTTGAAACTAATTTTAGAAGGTCAGGGTTGGATTGAAGTGCAAGTTCCTCTAGGTTCGAAAGATTATAGGAATCATGTAAGCAAGAGAGACTCACTCAGATGCACTGAAACCACCGTATGATTTCACCCTGGACCTTACACATTTGGAGTCAGGAAATGCACTGTCAGGTTTGTGCTCATAAAACCAAGTGGGGAATTGGGGAAATTGTAATTTGAACACAAACACTGCTTTCTTCCTCAGCTCTGCATTGCAGACAAAAGATTTCTAGGAGAAAGTCCACAGAATGGGACAAGTCCCAAAGCTTAGCTTGCTTTGCATGCCCAGGGTTGTTCAAGGTATTCAGGATGTATTAGTAGGGAAGGACACTTTTAAAAAATTCATTCATATCACAAAACATTGGTGAAGGCCTCTATTCTTCACACAGCACACTCCTCTGTGTTAGAGTTCCTTGGAGCTGTGGTTGTCTAAGCAGCTGCTTTTTTTTTTTCTTTCTCAAAAATATACTCGAAAGAACAGGGAAGTG